TGCGGCGCGAAGCCGATGTGCGGCTGCTGGCCCTCGCGCACCACCGTCGCCAGCGTCTTCTCCTCGCTCAGCAGCACCTCGCCCGAGCTCTCGCACACGCGCACTGCGGAACGGAGAGAGGAGGGACAAGGAAGAGAGCGAAAGGGAGGATGAGGGAAAGGGAGAGGGAAGGAGAGAGAGGGGACGGAAGGACGGAAAGGAAGAGAAAGGAACGGAGAGAGGAGGGACAAGGAAAAGAGCGAATAGGAGAGAGGGCGAAAGGGAGGATGAGGGAACGAGGTGAGGTGGAGGCACGGAGGGAGAAAGGGTAAGCGAGAGAACATGAGAGAGGGAAGAGGGGAGGCAGCGAGGGGAGAGAGGCGAGAATATCGGACGAGGTGAGAAGGGGAGGGAGGGCGGGAGTGGGAGGGAGAGAAGCATTCATAAAATTAGTCATGAATCCATCATTCGCGAGAGACTCCCTTAAGCGGGTCATGTACTTTAATTGATTAAATCATTAATTGCAGACAAACGCATTGATTCGTCGCACGTATGTTGACACGAATGCGTGCTTGTTGGGCACATAACACTAATAATCCTGATGGAAATACAGCGAAGAAATGTTCATACACAAAAACAACGATGTGTGCACTTGCATCATGCCTGAATCCACCTACTTTACACATACATATCACTGCAAACAAGAGGACAGATAAGAATCAGATGATAAACAGCAAGGGAGATAAAACCCATTGCACACACACAAACCTCAATTGGTGCGTGCGTGCGAGTGCGTGGCGTTTCCAGGGCATCTCGAAAGCACTCCGACCTTGCCCACATTTCTCCTAGAAAGTCTCAACTGTTTCCAAGACACGTGAATTGGGCGCCCTCCTCCGGTTGTGCCCGGGTCATGCCCTCCACGATGACCCCGACGCCCCACCCTGACCCCTGCCCTCCCTGGCACCCTCCCCGCCCGGTCTCCTGGCGGCCCCTCGGGAACCCGGCCGCAAGCACTCCGCCGCACCCTGCCGCAGGAACGGCTGGTGACCCGCCAAGTGCGCCGCAGCCTGCTCCGTCGAGGCGCGCACCTGCGCTCCTCCCCCCCCCCCTATTAAGTATTTACCTCATTAGCAGCTCCTCTCAGCTCGCCCGCGCCCCTCCACGCTGCTGCGCCCAAGTAAGCGCTGTGCTCACGAGCGCAGGCAGAGCTTAGAGTTGTCTCCGTCAGGCTATTGGCCATCACCGCCATGTTATGCCTTTGGCTTTTGCTTTTAAAGAACCAAGAACAAGTTAAACGCAACTTTAATAACAACCAATAAATTTCATGATTGAGTATCAAAAGGGCACAGGATGAGTGCCCAGGCGTTTGGCCAGAGAGAGAGGAGAGAGACAGAGAGAGAAAGAGAGAGAGGGGGGGGNGGAAAAAGAGAGAGAGGGAAAAAGAGAGAGAGAGAGAATGAAAAAGCTCATTTCAAAATCCAGCAGTTAAATTTTTTAACAAATTTAATACCCTACTCTTACCTAATCCATTATGAGTACTTACTGATAACTTTCTCTTAGATCTATGCATGTACCTATATCACTACCAAACTAATGGTTTCTAGCCCATGGACAAACAATTTATCTTTAAAATTTCACTGTAATCCATCAATAACTGATCCCGTTGACAAATTAACAAAGGAATCTTCAATGAATACTCAGTCTCCTTGCAAAGGCCATGATAATGATGACGAGGATGAGGATGGTGTGCTAAGAACAATGTCACTAGTACAAAATAAAAATCAGAGATGGAAAGGTAGAAGGGAAATATAGGGAAAAGAGAAAAATGGGAGAGAAAATGAAGCAAAAATGGATGATATAATCAATGAAAGGCAGACAGAAAAGGTAAAGAGAAAAGTTAGTTCAAAGATAGCCGAAAAAGGAAAACGATAAATAAAGCAGGAAGCCGTATGCAGCAACCAACCTATGCTCCCGCCATGCTTCTAAGCGCCTCCTGATGTATGAAACGAAGCACAACAGCAAAGACTGCAGCAGCAGACCCAGACACCTCATTCTACGACCTTCTCTTCCCTCGAGGCCAACCAACAAGTGCAGGTGAATGGAGCACCGAGTGGGCAGAGCGCGAAACGCGGGCAAGGCCAGGCCAGACCGGCCGAGGAAGGCGGGGACAGCGAGCCGTCGGGACACGCATACCTGACGCGGCCGGAGGTCTTCTCAAGGCTGCCCTGCCTGCGGCGCCACGTTCTCCTACGGTCGGTGCTGCTATGCCCGGTGTTCGCTCTGGCTATCTCTTTTTCATTTACCCCCCCCCTCTCTCTCTCGCGTGACCAAATCCACTTACTTCAGTGCCATCCAGGTCACCACACACGACTCTGCCCCTCCTCCCATCTCACGGTTTTCACCAGGCGGATATTATTGTACAACCACATTATATGATCTCAATACCAACAGCCAGGTTTAGCCTCATTACTTTAACCTTCGCGCCAAGAATCCCCATTCCCTTTGCTTCGGCCTCCACCTCCGTCTCCTCCTTCACTCTGTCCTCTACCTCTTTCTCCTCTCTCATCCCCTAATCGCAATTTCCTGCTGGCTGCCTTACGAGAAAACCTTGCCGTAATATACGATCAGAATAAGAGTTTTTGGTTGGCATGCACGTGGGTCAGTTTCAATGTAGCCGACGACCTCCGCTTCCGTAGTAGAACAACCAAGAACCAAATGAACATTTTATCCACAATCATCGCAATCAAAACAGAACACGGAGCAGATGACAAAGCAGCAAACAAACGGAAAAAACTACCAGCGCAGCTAATATCTACAATACACAATGCGGCCAACATCAGCGAAAAACTGAACTCGTAAAGACAACACTCAAGCAGCTTCAGCAACCACACGAGTTCGGACGTACAACGGACGGCAAGCCCAAGTCATTTCCGCAAGCAATTATGTATGCATGAAGGTGGGTATTTATGTATGTATGGGACCGGAAGTGAAATGTGTGTCAAGTGCCGGGTCGGGACAGAGGCACTGGGCCGCCGTGGGTCGTCGACCTGGCTCCGCGCCAGAGGGGAACACCTCCCCCCCTCCGCTACCTACACATCTCCCTGCCCTTTTCTCCCTCCCGATCGGGTACCCTTTCACCCTTTTGCCCGCTCTCACCGTACTGAGGGCCTCTTCTGTCACAAATGGAAGAGTGAGGTCCGGCGAGGTCGGGAGTGAGTCAACGGTCACAAGAGGGGACCGACAAGTTCAGGTCACCTTGGCTCCACAAAATGTAATGATTAAAGGTATTGTACCACCCAAATTTTCTCCAGATCTGTTGTGCTGAACGCCTGCCCCTTCCGAAAATACGTGTTCCTGTATGATGGCTTTGTTTTAGCCTTCCCTCAACGATTTCATACAATGGCAATGGAATACCAAGGAAAATCGAATAAAAAGAAAGGGAATTGGGCCACCCAGCGGCCAGGTATTTACATTTTGGACATCATTTGCTGGCAGCCAAACGAAGGAACAAAGCCTAAGGTTTAACATGATAAAAGGGGGGGCTGTAAACTTCACTTCTCAGATGAAAAAAATCCTACAAAACACACCAAGATCCTTTATGAATAGCTGAAGAAACGTCTAGAAAACAATATATGACGTTGCTTAACGTAAAAAAACAAGGGCAGGGTTACCAATAAACACTGCAAATATCAGTGGATTAGCTTTGCAAGCAGAAAGACCACGAAACCGAAATGTTATCACATTCAAAGCAGTAAAAGCCAGTTTGTTTACACAGGCGGCGTGATAAACAGATGCATCACGGTGTGTATCAGAGGACTTTCCATGGAGGCAAACAAAACTTTCAGCCGCAAGTATACTCGCTAATCAACTTGAGATCACCTTGCACTGCAACAACTCATTCTGAAACTCTGAAAATAAGCTGTTTACGCTCAAGACACTCTCACTCTCGAAAGAAACACGGATTTCAATGGCAACATCTGCCAAGATATGCGATATTGAGGCCACAGTCGCAGTCAAATATTGAGAGCATTCTTACCTGTGCAATGTGCACTCACACACAAGCGCATCGACAAAGTAGGCGCAGGACTACCGACAAGAACAAATGAAACGAAAGAACTACAAAAACGCATTCCAGTAGCACACGCCAATCTCTGATATTCAATTACAAAACCAAATTACTCACAACCAACACACACCGAAAACGAACCCAATCACCCCAGGAATCGTGTTCACGTTACCCCACTCAAACTCACAACCAACACAAGTACTCAAGCAAACACACACGCACTAACACAACAAAAAAACATCTGCAAACACACGCGAAAACACCCCGAGCCAACGCACTCACGATCAAGCACCGACGCAGAGGTCACGCAGAGCCTGAGACATAGTTGTGCCAGTGCTCTAGTGGCATCATTGGCAGCCCTCGGTGCCAGCCAGCCGAGACCCTGTGCCATGTTACCTCCCTCCCTCCCTTCCCCTATCCCTTCCCATCCTTCCATGGTGCCACGCCTGTCATGACCACATCCTCCCCTCCCCCCCGACCCAATAACTTCATGATGTTTGTGAAAATCCCTCGACCCCCTTCACACAAATTCAACCAAAGCGTTCTGGCCACAACAAGCGCTTCCCCCAAGCCTCCCCACCTGCCTCCGTATCCTTAACTTTGCTCAAGTCCTTTATCCTAGAGCGTTAAACCTGACCTCAGCCCGGCTCTCACAGGCTCCTGAACTCCCTTCCCACGTCCCCAACAGGGTTCATGGCAAGGAAGGGAAGGGGGAGGGGGAGCGAGAAAGAAAAAGAAAAAGAGAAAGAGAGGCAGGGGAGGAGCCAGAGAGATGGAAAAGAGAGAAAGGAGAAAGAGAGATAAAGAAAGGAGAAATGGAGAAAGACAGAAAAGAGAGAGAGAGAGAGAGAGAGAGAGAGAGAGAGAGAGAGAGAGGAGGAAGGGAGAAAAAGAGAAAGATGAGGGGGTGAGGGGGGGAAAGAGAGAAATGAGGGAATGAGGGAGAGAAAAAGGAGGGAGGGAGGGAATGAGAGAGAGAGAGAGAATGGAGGAAGGGAGGGGCAGAGAGAGACAGAGAGAGAAAGGAGGAAGGGAGGGAAAAAGAAAGAGAAAAGAGGAAGGGAGGGAAAAAGAGAGAGAGAGGGGGGGGGCGAGAGAGAGAGAGAGAGTGGAGAGAGAGAGAGAGAATGGAGGAAGGGAGGGGCAG